AAATTTGGTTCTTTTCTCTACTATATGGGTCTGGGAGCTGAACATCAATCTGGCGTGGCAGAGACTGTCCTTACAAGCTGAACCCTTTCTTTTTCTTTGAGACAGGGTCTCATGCAGCCCAGGCAAGCAACTCTGCTACCTGGAAATCACTATATAAACCAGGCTAGTCTCAGACTTGTAGGATACCTGCTTCTGCCTATTTTCAGTTTACATTTATTATTTTGTGTGTTTGCACCAAGCTCCTAAGTTGGGGTCAGAGACAACTGGCAACTGTGTATTAGTTACAACACATTTACTCTAGAAAGAGGAGTTAGGTCATCGGTCAGCAACCCGGGGAAAGGCTGGCAACTGCAGTGTGTGTGCAGAAGCCCCAGTGCAGCTCCTCCTCCTCACCCTGTCCTCTGTGTACCCATGCTTTCTGTGCATGAGTGTGTGATGTATGCAGGCCAATGTTGAGGGCAGTAGTCAGAGCCACATCAGGTGTCTTCCTCAATCCACCATTTTAGTCTGAGTTTCTTTTGCTGGTTTTTTTTTTTTTTTGTTTTGTTACGTTTTGTTTTCTGAAAGACAGGGTCTTACTGTTACTCTGGCTGGCCTTGAACTCACAGAGTTCTACGCGTCTCTACCGCTAAGTGTTGGGATTAAAGGGAACACCACTGCACCTGGCTCACTTGTTACTTTTTGTGTGAGTGCCAGGGATACTAACTCAAGTCCTCATACTTGCAATCACTTTACCAACTAAGCCATCTCTCAAGCCCCTCTCCCCACCCTTGGTTTTGTTTGTTTGTTGGAGGTATGTGTCATGGAGCTGAGGATGAACTAGAATGATCATCGCCCTGCCCCACCTCCCACATGCCAGGACTACAGGTGTGCACCACTTTACTGACAGAACGGAGTCTACAGACCTCAGATCTATACCAAAGCAACAGAATAAACCCCTACAGAGTTGTTAGGTTGTTTCCTAACTCATTTCTCTGTCTGAAAAAGTGCCTAAAAGACTACAGAAGGAGGCTGTAGCTAACATAAATCAAATTCTAATCTATGTTTGCAAGAACACTCAGTGACACCTCCTGCTGCCACTAATCCCCTCTAATGTACTTCTTGTTTGTCATCAATCCAAACCAGCCTAGCTGATCCCTAGACAACCCAAATTGCCACCAAGGTATATTCCATTCTTCTGAGGGTTAATACTGACTGCTACCTGGTCAGGCTTCAGAGTGCCTCAGGAAAAAAAGCCTGTGGGCATGTGGTGAGGGATTACCTAGATCAGGGTTTGGGGGTGGGAAGACCCACTTTACCCATGAGTGGCAACATCCCAGGAGCTGGGGTCCTGGGTTGAGTGAAAAGGAGAAGGGAGGTGAGTACCGGCACTCACCCACCTGCTTCCTAACTGTGCTGCCATGCGACCAAACGCCCTAAGCTCTTAACCACTGAGCCCAGTCTCCAACCCTGAAAGACAGGCTTTCTCTGTGTAGCACTGGCTATCCTGGAACTCATTCTGTAGACCAGGCTAGCTTCAAACTCAGAGATCTACCTGTCTCTACCTCTGGAGCATAGAGATTAAAGGCATGCACCACCACTGGCTGGCTATGCCCTGACATGAGCATGTATGCGCTACAGATTGCGTGTGGAAATAAGAGGACACCTTTGTGAAGCTGGTTCTCTTCTTACATCTTCATAAGGTTCCGGGTCAGGGACTGGACTCAGGTCAGGTTCACACGCAGGCTTGCATGGTCAGTACGTCTACTCACTGAGCCATCTTGCCAGCCTTAGATACTTTCATCCTCTCAATACTTCTGGAATACAATATGGGGAACGACACCTTCTTCGTCTGCAGGAGCACAGGCAGGACTGCAGGGCTATGCCGGCAGACAACTGGCAGCAGTTGAAATGCTAACTCAGGGTGTCCTCCCAAGACGGGCATTTTCAAGCATCTTATAACTATTTCATTCTCCCCTCTTCCTCCAAAGGGGTGCTATGTACTTTCCAGGGAGCATCCTCCCCTGACTCCTCAGCACACTTCCTACTGGAAACACCTACTTCACTGCATCTTGGCTGCCCTGTGTAACAGAAAGGGCTCAATGTGTGACTCTCAAAAAGCACAGAGGTGGTAAGATGGTTCGGCAGGGAAAGGCACTTGCTGACAAAGTTCACGACCTGAACTCGATCCTCAGAACCAGTTCCTGTGACTCTCACACATGCAAGAGCATAGCACGGCTGAGCCTATAAGCACATTTACAGGGGGGATGGGAGGGGAAGGAAAAACTATCCAGCCACACAAGGAAAAGAAGAACTTTCCAGAGCTAGACATCAACCCAAATGTGTGCTGTACGACAGAACTGTCAAGCCACTGGCAAGGCTGCAGACAAGCAGTAAAGCTGCACAGGTCCAGGCACATCTTCCCTTCATCTCTTTCATCTTCTCCATCTTGCCTGAATCCGCAGCTGCATGACAGTAACTCAAATATCACTTTGCCTTAGGCACCCTGAAAACGACAGAAGCCAACTAAATCTAGACCTGACTTCTGCAGCGCGGATCCTCCTAACTGGTCCACAGTCCCATCCTTTTGAAATAACCAGGCAAAGGTTCTGAGAGTCCCAGGCCTACAGAGGCAAAGTACAAAGTCATACTGCCCGTCAGGACCTACCTGCACCCTGAAAATCCTAAGACCTCAGATGCTGCAAGACATGAGACCCTCACTCTGCTCCAGAGCAAAGGAAAAGCATGTCATACTATTCTCTCAAATCTTCACATTTTTCAAATTCTGTGTGCATGTATACCTGCAGGCCAGAAGAGGACACCAGATCTCAATATAGATGGTTGTGAGCAGTCATGTGAGTAGTGGGAATTGAACTCAGGACCTCTGGAAAAGCAACCAGTGCCCTTAACCTCTGAGCCTTCTCTCCAACCCCATAAGTAAGTGGATTCTATGAGTTTAAGGCCAGCCTGATCCCCTGTCTCAAAAACCAAAATAATAATAATGATCAACCCAGGCAGTGGTAGAACACGCCTTTAATCCCGCACTTGGGAGGCAGAGGCATCGGGTCTCTGTGAGTTCGAGGCCAGCCTGGTCTACAAGAGCTAGTTCCAGGACAGGCTCCAAAGCTACAGAGAAACCTTGTCTCAAAAATCCAATTTAAAAAAAGTAATATTCATAATAATAATGATAACAATGATAATAATAATATTTTATCTTCTACTGGTCATTCTTTTATTATTTCTTCTATTTTATTTGTGAGGCAGAGACCCCCCCTTTGGCTCCTATGTGACAGACTAAAGGTGTTTATTTATTGAGACAGTGTCTTGCTATGTATCCTACCTGTCTTGGAACTCAATTCTCTATATAAACCAGGTTGGCCACAAATTTACAGTGATCTTCCTGCTTCTGCCCCCAGTGCTGGGATTACAGGAATGAAACACCATAGCATGCTGGTCATTCTGAGAAGTTTCTGAAAGCCGAGCTATCACAGGCAGAGGCTCTATCACAAGCACAGTCATCCTTGGGCAGAAGTTTGTTTGAGTGTGATCTGAGAAATGGCTCTGCAGCACCAAACTCAATCTGCTGGGGGATTCAGGGAGAAGAATCCTTTCCTTCCAAATAGAGACCTATGAGGCACACATGCAGACCCTGATTTTGAAGGGTCTGAGGATGGAACAGTGCTGGCCAGGCTACAGCCACAAGGAGACAAGCCAAGGCAAAAGCCAAAGAAGCAAGAACAGTGAAGACAAGAAGGGAGGACTGAGATGTAGCTTGGAGAGAGACAGGCAGGACAAGAGTGACAGAGCCTGAACCCTAGAAGAATGCTCTGGGTATGAAAACTTTCACGTGACTTCAGCAAGCGCAAAACCAGTAAGAATGCCAGGCAGGTTTCCGCTGTTGTTTGACATAGGGCCTCACGTATGTAGCTCAGGCTGCCTGATTCACTATGCTGCCAAGGAGGACCTTGAACTTCTGGTTCTCCTGCCTGTGCCTTGGTAGTGCTAGGATTATAGGCATGAACCACAACCCCAGTTTCTTCAGTGTTGGGGGTTAGTTAAACTCTGGGCTTCAGGCATGCTCAGTAACCACTCTGCAAACTGAGTGACATCCCTAGCCCACAGAATCTTTTTGCTTGGTTTTGGCAATACTAGGAATTGACCCTTGCACATCTTAGTCAAGCCCCTTGCCACTCGCTGAACCGTATTCACAGCCTGGTATGTCCTAAGTGCTATTTTATATGTCTATAAAATCAGGCTTAACTCCCTCTACAACAAGCAGCTAGATTTAAAAAAATATTATGTGTGGCAAGGAAATACCCGAGGACAAGAGAACTCACACTGCTGCACAAGTCCTAAGCGAGGCTCCATGGAAGAGTTGAGCACAGTGCTGCCACCACAGGCTGAGGAGAAACACCAGCTGCTTCCTCCTGCACACTCTCTCTCTCCAAGAGGCTAAGAGCTCTTCTGGAGAGGAGAGACTACTGGGGACTGACCCCTGGGTCTTGCACTCACTAGGAAAGTACTCCTCCACCTGAGCCACATCCCTAGCCCTCCTGGGCTCTAAGTTCTCAAACTAAGGGAACCCAGGGCTCACAATTTGACTTTTGTTTATCCTGGCATATCTAGTAAGGTGTAGCGGTGTGGTCAAGGACACAGCCCGTGTATGCTGCACACGATATGACTAGAACCCTAGCGTCCCTCGAGCTGCAGTCACCAGCACTAGCTCACTAGCCATGGTGACAGGAGCCAGGGCCCCGTCTCCTGTAGGTAAAAGAAAGAGCTACACTAGCCAGCTGGCTCCTGTTAGCACTGATACCTGATCTATGACAAGTACCAGAGATGAAGCTGGAAGAGAGCCACAGACATCACTAGATACACGCGCTACTGACAGCCTTCCTCCTACAGAGAATGCTGACAAACACTGCATGTCAACACTGTAGCAGCAGGGAAGAGGTGGCTATTACATGCTCTCCCTGATCACAGCACACCACTCAGTAGTACCCACAGGCCTCTGCACGTACCTCCTCGCAGACTTCCCGGACCGCTGCCATACTTGGCTCCTCCTCGGGCTCCATGCCTCCTCCAGGGACAATCCATCGGTCTGGATGGCGGCTACTGCTCACAAGCAGCACCTGAAGTCAGAGGTCACACGGAGGGTTAAACATTCAAGAAAACACTCACAAATCAGTCCAAATAGAAAGAATTCCACAGTAACTAAAAAACAGCTCTTGTTTACACCCACAAATAACTTTTTTACGAGGTAGTGTCTCGTGTTGGGAACAGCAGGCACGCTGCCCAGTACATGCCAAGGGCATCTGCTGGAAACCACTGCGGGCTGTGGTCTTTACCCTCCCCTCACACCCAGCTGCCCATCTCATCCTTCTCCCCTCCATTCTCCTCCTTCTCCTAAGCCCTGGGAAAGCAGAACTGATGAGCTGACAAATAGAACAGATGCACTGACAAGCCTGGAAAAGCTGAGACAGAGGGCCAGGAAATCGCAGTCCTTGTCTGTGGACGCCAGCACAGCCACACCGCTCTCCCCCAGTGCATGGCACACCCCGAGAGCTGAGTTCACTCTCAGCTCCGGAGCAGAACTTCAACTACTCACAGTTGCAACAACAGCTGACAAGAGCAGCTCTTCTTATGACTTTTTAAATGTGATCATTTTATGCGCACAGAGGTATGTCTGTGCGTCATGTGCATGAAGGCCAGAGGAAGGTGTCAGATCCACTGGAACTGGAGTTACAGACAGCTGTGAGCTGCCATGTGGATGCTAGGATCTGAACCCGGGTCCTCTGGAAGAACGCCCGGAGCTCTTTAATTGCTGACCCATCTTTCCAGCCCTGGAATTCTTTTATTTAATTTTTTAAAATTTTATTTATGTATTTTTTAGGTATGCGTACTCTGTCTGCACATATGCCTGCACGCCAGAAGAGGGCATCAGATTCTATTATAGAAAGATAGTTGTGAGTCACCATGTGATTTCTGGGAATTGAACTTAGGAACTCTGGAAGAGCAAGCAGTCAGTGCTCTTAACCCTTGGAGTTTTTTTTTTAATTAATTTATTTATTTTTTGATTTTTCGAGACAAGGTTTCTCTGTAGTTTTNTATGCGTACTCTGTCTGCACATATGCCTGCACGCCAGAAGAGGGCATCAGATTCTATTATAGACAGATAGTTGTGAGTCACCATGTGATTTCTGGTAGACTAGGCTGGCCTCGAACTCACAGAGCTCCGCCTGCCTCTGCCTCCCGAGTGCTGGGATTAAAGGCGTGCGCCACCACCGCCTGGCTGAGGTTTTTTTTTTTTAATTTATTTATTATGTATAGTGTTCTGCTTGCACACTAGAAGAGGGAACCAGGTCTCATTACAGATGGTTTTGAGCCACCATGTGGTTGCTGGGACTTGAACTCAGGACCTCTGGAAGAGCAGCCAGTGCTCTTAACCACGGAGTATCTCTCCAGCCACCCACCCCTCTGCAGAGTTCTTTTTTAATGCATACTATTCTTAGAAGTTCTGGCTGGGTATAAGTAAAAACAAATATTTTTTAAATCTTTAATAAAATGAATAAATCACTTAATAAATGCATATGAAATAAAAATCTACTAGCTAATAATTCCATAATGAGCATGGTGAAGCATGTCTATAATCCCAGAGTTTAGGAAGCAGAGGCAGGAAAATCAAGAGCTCCTGTAAGGGGCTCTGTCCCAGCAGCAGAGAAAGGAACCAATACAGCTCCCAACCCAGGAGTCATCTCTGCTGGGATTGCCCCAGCAAGGAGGACTTCTGCTTGTTCTAGAGCTACACTGGTTACCGTGTGTGTGTTCTGTCTGCATGTATGTGTATGGAAAAGGATAACACTGAACTGGAGACATGGCTCAGCAATGAAAGGCACTGCTCCTCCTAAGCACCTCTTACAGAGGACCCTGGTTCAGTTCCCAGTAGCCACATGGCAGCTCACAATGGTCTAAAACCTTCTTCTGCCCTCTGTGGGCACTGCATACATATACATGGAGGCAAAGTGTCTGTCACACAAAACAAAAATAAATAAAATTTTAAAGGGGGAGGCATCAGACCCTGGAACTGAAGTAACAAACAGTTACGCGCTGCCATGTAGGTTCTGGGAACTGAACACACAACTCTGGAAGAACAGCAAGAACCCCAGCCCCTCTGAGGAGTTTATTAATACGATTATACCGTAGTTTACTTAACCAGCCTTATTCTTTTGATTTTTGTTTGTTTTTCAGTGTTGGAGCCCAAACCAAGATCTTCTGCAAGCTAGGGGAGTACTCTGGCACTAAACCACAGCCCTGCCAGCCTCCTGATGCACACCATGGGTATTTCCAATTTCCTGCTGTAGAATCAAGCTGCGATAAGCAGTCTTTATGCTAATCATCCCACACGTGAGCGAACTAGTAGACGTCACAGTTTACCCCACGAATTCTCACTCCAGTGAAAAGTTTATAGTGAGCATTAAGGTCTCTTAGCTACTTTTCTATTGCTGTGAAGAGACACCAGGATCAAGAAAGCATTCCATTTGGGGGGGGGGGGGGGGGGGGGGGGGGGGAGAAGAGAGAGAGAGATCAAGCTTCCTAACTGGGAATGGCGTGGGCTTTTTAAACCTTAAAGCCCACCCCCAGTGACATACCTATTCCAACAAGGCCGCACCTCCTAATCCTTCCCAAACAGCTCCACCAACTAAAGAAATCAAACATTGAAGCATAAGCATGCAGTGGCCATCCTCATTCAAATCACCATATAGGATCTGATTTTGGAATGTTTCCCAGGATCTCATGTTTTCACAGCACTGAGTCCCCCACTTGTGGCATTTTTTTTTTTTTAGAGTGTCAGAGCTTTTTGTTGAGTCCTGGCTGGCAGAAATGTGCTTGGAGAACGCCTTTGAAGGCTATGCCTACTCCACGTCCTGGCCTGTGTGCTCAGCTTCCCAGTCTACTGTTCTCTCAAGAGCATCTTCCACCATGCAGTCTACCCTGCTGTCTCTGCATCATGGACCAAAAGCCATACGAAACCATGAACCACAATGACATTTCCACCTGTGAGTAACTTTTGCCAAGTATATGGTCAGTGTAATACAAACACAACTAATACAGAAAACTGGTTCCAGGAGAGAGATCAATGCAGCAACTAAATATGACCATACTGGTTCTTAGGCCTGGGTTTGTGGGAAGAAAGTGGAAGAGGTTGGAAGTGCAGTCTTGGAATCCGGGACCACTGTAAGCTGTTGTTCTTAACTAAATTTCAATTGTTCAATTTTACCAATAAAGACAAAGGAGCCAGATGCTGGGTGACAGCTCAGAGGGGCAGAGAACGCATCAGCTCACCTTCCTCCTTTGCCAACATCCCAGAAAAAGTCGTCTCAAATGAAACTTCTCAAACCAATGTCTGTCCCTTCTACTTCCTGTGCATCTCCCTATCTGTCCTCCTGACTACCTCTTACTCTCTGTAACATGAGGGTCGGATTGTTGGGGTTTCTTTCCTACCCAGTTCCCACAGCCGGTAAATCCCAAATCACACAGAGTTCTACATAAGTTATAAACTGATTAGCCCATTAGCTCAGGCTTCTTATTAACTCTTATAACTTATATTACCCCATTATATGTTAGCCACATGGCTCGGTACCTTTTTCAGCAGGGCAGGTTACATCTTCCTTCTTCAATGTCTGGACAGGACTACAGAGGGAGCTTCCCTCTTCCCAGAATTCTCCTGTTCTCATTGCCCTGCCTCTACTTCCTGTCTGGTTGTCCTGCCTGGCGACTGGCCAATCAGCGTCTATTTAAAACATAATTGACAGAATACAGACTTGTCCCACACCAACTCTTTATGGCTTTTTCCTGTCAACTAGTTGCTTGCTCCGCCTCTTGACCTATGGCTGACTTTATTTGAAGGCCCTGGATATAAAAATACAAACCAATTTCAAAGACTTTTTTCCACTTAGAAAAGGGGCTGAAGAGATGGTTCAGCGGTTCAGAGCACTGGCTGCACTTCCAAAACAAAGGTCCTGAGTTCAATTCCCAGCCATCTATGAAATCTGGTGCCCTCTTCTGGCACATACATGCCAGCCAGCAAAACACTGGATACATAATAAATAAATAAATCTTAGAAAAAAGAAAAGGTCATGGTAAGCCAGCAGTGGAACCCTAGCACTTGGTGGATCACTGTAATTCTAGCACTCAGGAGGCAGAAGCAAAAGGATTCTAACTCCAGCTTACATATGAAGACCTTGTCTGTATCAATCAACTGACCAACCAGAGAGAGCCAAAGGGGCCCCAGGTTGGGCGCCAAACATACCGACCCATTTTCAGGCACACAGCCTGTCCATGTCACCATTAAGCAAGCTGTAGCACTCTGCTCACAAACCCAACTCAAATGCTCTGAAGCCAGACCTACTGTCTGAAAGAGTCAGAGCTCGTGCCGGCAGCCTGGTCCAGAAAGCCAGCATTTTAAAACTGCCACTTTTTTTGTTGTTGTGGCTGCTGAGTTAAGAAAATTTCTCCTAAAGGAACTGCAGCAGGCCACCAGCAAACAGCAAAAAGTTGCCTTAAACTCTTATGTATGTATGTGTGTATGTATGTATATGTTTTACGTGGATTTAGCCAGCCCCACATTGCAAGGGGGAGGGCCCGCTTGTTCATCCCGGCCGCCTGGCTAGCTTAGCTCAGAAATAAGCACACAGAAATTGCATTAATTAAATCACTGTTTGGCCCATTAGCTCTAACTTTTTATTGGTTAATTCTTACATCTTAATTTAACCCATTTTTATTAATCTGTGTATCACCACATGGCAATGGCTTACTGGGTAAAATTCTTAGTGTCTGTTTTAATCAGATCCATGGCATCTCTCTCTGACTCTGCCTCCCAGCATGTGATTTAATTCCCCCCCTTCCACCTACCTAAGTTCTGTCCTATCAACAGGCCAAAGCAGTCTCTTTATTAACCAATAAAAACAACACAAAGACAGAAGGAACTCCTACACCAGTACACTGATAGAAAGGGATTGCCTAAAAAAATGTCATATAGGCTCTAAGAGGACACTGCAGCCACAGTCCACAAGGGCCCAACTACATCTTCAGCTGACAGAAGGTAACATAATCCACATGGTGCTAGTATGCAG